ACTGAAAAAAAGGCAAGTGAAGTCTTAGCACCACTTGTGTCCTTTATCAGAGGAATATGTACAGTACAGTGTACACCACAGCAACATGCTTGGGTGAATGTCTCATATGCTGCCCTTTAGTTTGGATATCTAGAAACAACAGGTTTAGAATAATGCCTTCTGCAGCCTGGAATTTCTGGGTATTTACACTGTGAGATATGAAACAAGGGGCCCAGATGTCAACATATCAGTGTTGGTTCGTCAGAAAAATGACCAATCCATGTGACTTTTCTACAACGTGCAAAACAGTGAAGTTCATTGTGAAAATAAAATGTTAGATTTTTCTTTGCACTGGTCTTGTGTAATAACACATGAAAAGACTAAGCTGAATTCAAGAAGAACCTCTACGGGTACAAAAGGGTACAGATACATAAAGATTTATATTTTTTACACGTGAAAGCACTTAAAGCCCCCCAAATGGTAAATATTTTCTCAAACAGGATATTTTGATAAACCTACAGGTAAATACAAAACCAGAACCTTCGTTAAGTGGAGTTTATTAATAAAGCTGGCAGTGCCTCTACCCAGGACAGGTCCTCTGTGAACCGAGGGGATTCCCTTCCTAGCAAATGAACCAGCAATCCAATCAAAGTAATTGGGAGCAAAACTACTGCAACCAGCATATAACATGAGCCAAAATTCTATAGTAGTATTGCAAATAATACAAGCTTTATATAATAAAAGATGAATAAAAGTGAATACACCCAATGTACAAACAGATATTATTGGCAAAGGGCCCACCAAGATTCCTTGTGGATTTGTGCACCTAAAACTGGGTATATAAGTTATTAATAAATACGCCTCCAGATGAATGTTGCAGTAAAGTTCATTTGCAGGAGCCCCTGAGGATGATCACACTGTAGCGTCCATCTTTGTGTTGGAGACCGGAAGACCAGATCAGTGGTGATGGGGAGATACTCCAACCATTGTTCAACCAGCCTGGAATGCAGCTTCTTATCAGCAGAGGCTCTGGTGTGACACTGGAACAGAGTCAGCCTATCTACTCTGCATCTTAGTCCCTAATAGTTTCCATTCTATCATGCACCCAGACCTCTAGCTACCAGAAGTGGCCATTTAATGCCTAACATGGCTCTATCCTATACTGGTTATCAAGCGCTAAGCTAAAACTAGCTATAGAATCCCAGAACAGTAGATACAGGGAGCTGTATATAAACTCTGTTGCAATAAAGAGGCTCACCTACTAATGTACTGGAAGGTGAAAACTACATATGTAGTTCCAGATGTACCTATCTGGCACTGTGCATGTGAAATAATACCAATAGGACAGAGATGCTTCTGTCACCAGTTTTTATTTACAGTTGTGCTCAAAAGTTTGCATATCCTGGCAGAAATCATGACATTTTGGCATTGATATTGAAAACATGACTGATCATACCAAATAACTTTTAGTTAAGGATAGTGATCATATGAAGCCATTTATTATCACATAGACGTTTGGCTCCTTTTTAAATCTTAATGACAACAGAAATCACCCACATGGCCCTGATTTACATACCCTGGAATGTTTGGCTTTGGTACAGACAAACAAAGTGACACACAGGTTAAAATAGCAATTAAAGGTTATTTCCCACATCTGTGGCTTTTTTAATTGCAATTAGTGTCTGTGTATAAATAGTCAATGAGTTTGTTAGTTCTCATTTGGATGCACTGAGGAAGCTAGATGCTGAGCCATGGGGAGCAGAAAAGAACTGTAAAAATACCTCGATAACAAGGTAATGGCACTTTATAAAGATGGAAAAGGACATAGAAAGGTATCCAAAGCCTTGAATATGTCAGTCAGTACTGTTCAATGACTTATTAAATGTAGAGTATTTAGGAATTTCTTGATAGCAAGCCAAGGTCAGGTAGGCCAAGAAAGATTGAAGCACTGCATAGAGAAGAGGGAGAAGAGCAGATATTCCAAATTCCTTGACCACTGGAGCTGCTATGGGGACACTGACAGCTCAACATCATCAGAGGTAAGTACTACTGGCACCCAGGTGGTTGGGAGGGTGTATGGTGTTAGTTCACCTTTACAGACATGCCAGGGCTCATTTAGACAGGAGCCAACTAACCCACCAGCATCCCTCTGAAGTGTGGTAGGAACAAAAATCTGAATTTGTACAAAAATGTTGCATTCTTTGAACCAGAAATATTATGTTAGTGTCTCTATAAATGGGTTAAACCACTCACTATGTTTTCACGTTTGCAAAAGAAGATTGAGGAATTATTGGCTACCTCCCAGACTGAAGATAAAATGATAGAGTTATCATAGCTGGCTCATTTTTATACGTCACATTATAACACTGGTTGATCCAGGTCATTTGAACTAATGGCAACACTACATAAGGCACCCACGTTTCATTACAACCCCCCACGCCTCTTTGACTTCAGTTCAGACTTCCATGGACTGGGAAGTGCCATCCTATGTCCCATGGACAGTGGTGGTCACCAGGACAAAATGAGAGGGTGGATGAAGTGAATCTGCAACAACCAGCTGCTAACACGTGTGTGCCCATCCAACATGTCAGTCCAAACATGCTGCAGCTCCTCCCAACGTGCTTCATCACAGTGGCTTCCTCTAGAGCAGTCCTTGAAGAATTCGTGGCAAAGCGCATCATCAGGTGCATCACCACAGGGAGGTGTCCACACACGAGGTACCATTGTGATGTGTACTGACCCGGTATGAACTGATGGATTTAGCCCTACTGCTGGGCAAGCACTTTTGAAATGTGAGTGTTATGATGTTTTTAATTGAAACTAAATGGAGTTAGCACTATGACGTTTTCTGCCTTCTTTACCTAATAAACACTGATTGATGTACACCACTAGAGGGGATTTAATGGACATATGGAGAGTATGGAGGTACAGGTGTCATATGGAGAGACACACATTGTGCTTTGAGATGCTTAGCAACTTCAGGCAGGAGTCTCCAAACTTTTTGATACAAGGTCCACATCATATATTTTACAAATATTAATGGCTGCAAAATAAAACATTTTTAGAAATAATTGAATAACATTTAAATGGATGAATAGGTTTTATTGGGATTTTTTTTGTTGTTGTAATCAGCTTGATGGGATTCAGAACAACAGTGAAGGATCTTCAGTAAAACAATTCAAAGAAATTCCAAATAAACAGGAGTCCATCAGATTTCCCCCTTACATCAGAGTTTAAGGGATCAATACTACCAGGTGAGTTATTATTATTATACAGGATTTATATTGCGCCAACAGTTTTGCGCAGCGCTCTACATAGGGAGACAGTACAGTTACAATACAATAAAAAACAGGAGGATTAAGAGGACCCTGCTCATAAGAGCTTACAATCTAATGGGGTGGGGCAAGTGGTACAAAAGGTTATAACTTTGGGGGATGAGCTGATGGAAGTAATAAATGTTTAATTATTATTATGTTATTATTATACAGTATTTATAAAGCGCCAATAGTTCGCTCAGCGCTGTACATTACAGACGGGGACAGAACATGTGACAGAACAATACCAATACAATGCAAAACATGAGGGGATCGAGGGCCCTGCTCTTTCGAGCTCACAATCTAGGAATTGGAGGCGTGATAGGCTTCCCTTAAGGGATGAGATTTTCAGAGATTGCCTAAAGGCAGCCAGAGAAGGGGATAGCCGGACTGATTGAGCTAGAGAGTTCCAGAGGATGGGAGAGGCTCTGGCAAAGTCCTGGAGATGAGCATTGGAGGAGGAAACAAGGGAGCTGGAGAGCAGGAGATCATGAGAGGAGTGGAGAGGACGGTTTGTGTGATATTTGGAGATAGGGCAGAGTTATGAATAGATTTGCATGTTATTAGTATTTTGAAGTTAATTCACTGGGCAATCGGATGCCAGTAGAGGGATTGGCAGAGAGGGGTGGCAGACACTGAGCGGTTGGTAAGTTGATCCTCAAAAAGGAGTTGGCCTGCTTTGGATATACTTCAGGCCTCATTCACACCATATGTGCAGAAAAACTGATGGAAACTGACATGCAGATTTCACTTGCAGAGATATACGTTTTCATGCACGCTTCAATTAATTTTATATACATTGCAGTTTCAGATTCCTGTGCAGACAAAATCTGCATGTGATACTTGTGTTGTGGTGTGAACAGGGCTCATGGAGAACAATTGATTTCCTTGCAGAAAAACTGACGTCTCTGCACCATGGCGTGAACGATGCCTTAAACCATGGAAATGCACAAATATGCATCGATTATGCGCATAGAGATGTGAGCTAGTGTAGTAGCAATTTTGTCAAACCAGAGAACTCTGGAAACGGACTTAAGGAATAGAAGTGATTTATTAAAAACAGCGCTGTTTTGACCCAACAGACGGCTCATGCTCTCATCTGCTAAGTGATTTGAAAAACATCTCACAGAGTATACATATTAACAATTACGTCACAATGCATACATTTCTGCTTTCACTTCCTATACTTTCAAAAGGCTTTCTAAACTGTGCAGAATAACCTTGAGTAGCAGCTGCAGATAAGGGTACTAACGACAAGTCGGTACAAATCACTCACAGGAAATACGGGAGGGGGGAAGATGAGCCAAAAACCTTGCAAGCAGATACTGTTAGAAATGTTACTCTTTAAAGGGGAACTCTGCAATATGTGGGTGCTACCACACTAGCTATACAGGAATTCATCTTTTATTTGAGTGCATTTTCATGCAGCAATACACATCTACACCTTCAGCTCTCAAAGTGACACCTAGAATGTCCACTAGAGGGCAGCCTGCCTGCAATAAACGTCTCTACAGAGACCTGGCTGCCCTCCTGCTTCTCAGAGCATAGAAAGCGCAAACAGACCACATGGACTTCGGAAAAATGGCGGCTTTATTTTCTATGGGAGAACTGACGCTCTAGTGACCGCTTCGGGAGTAGGTGGAAGTGTGTTGGTGATGACGTCAGAGAGAGGCGCCGCTCAGCTGCTCTGACCTGTCAGTTGAGAAGCGGTGTGTAGGTGATGCCGAACCCCAGAGAGGCGGAGGAGAGCCGGTTCACCCCATGTACCGGAGCCAGGAAGTTGGGGAGACCGGGCCTCCACCGGGACACAGACCGATAGCATGCAGGGTGAGAGGCGCCTAGAACCATGGAGAGGACACAGACTCACCTGCCACCCATTCATTTTCCGGGTTTGCATTAGAATGCACATTGTAGGCCTGTAGATTAGTGAACCCCCACACATGATGGATTTCCTGAGAGCAGAGACCTGGAGAATACAATGGTGCTGGCTGCTGTTTCCCAGGATCTTTGTATTTAGTAAAAAATACACTCAAATCAATCCCTTGGTGCCTCCATTCAAGGCGGAGTGGGGTTTAGAGTCATGTGATCGCTACGATTGGCTGTCACCGCAGTCACATGATCAGAAAGGTCCCGATCACAAGTAGTGACCGGGACCTTTCCGGGAGCGCGCAGGGCTTGCCCTCTCAGCACGTTTGTTTACTTTTGGTATGCAACAATGCGGCTGCTTGGTGTCAAGGCTCAGCGTGAACAAGTTAAAGTGTTACTAAACCCCGGACCCTGCATTCACTATATCCGGTCTCCCCGGACCCCGCATTCACTATACCCGGTCTCCCCGGACCCCGCATTCACTATACCCGGTCTCCCCGGACCCCGCATTCACTATACCCGTTCTCCACGGACCCCGCATTCACTATACCCGGTCTCCCCGGACCCCGCATTCACTATACCCGGTCTCCCCGGACCCCGCATTCACTATACCCGGTCTCCCCGGACCCCGCATTCACTATACCCGGTCTCCCCGGACCCCGCATTCACTATACCCGGTCTCCCCGGACCCCGCATTCACTATACCCGGTCTCCCCGGACCCCGCATTCACTATACCCGGTCTCCCCGGACCCCGCATTCACTATACCCGGTCTCCCCGGACCCCGCATTCACTATACCCGGTCTCCCCGGACCCCGCATTCACTATACCCGGTCTCCCCGGACCCCGCATTCACTATACCCGGTCTCCCCGGACCCCGCATTCACTATACCCGGTCTCCCGGACCCCGCATTCACTATACCCGGTCTCCCCGGACCCCGCATTCACTATACCCGGTCTCCCCGGACCCCGCATTCACTATACCCGGTCTCCCCGGACCCCGCATTCACTATACCCGGTCTCCCCGGACCCCGCATTCACTATACCCGGTCTCCCCGGACCCCGCATTCACTATACCCGGTCTCCCCGGACCCCGCATTCACTATACCCGTTCTCCCCGGACCCCGCATTCACTATACCCGTTCTCCCCGGACCCCGCATTCACTATACCCGTTCTCCCCGGACCCCGCATTCACTATACCCGTTCTCCCCGGACCCCGCATTCACTATACCCGTTCTCCCCGGACCCCGCATTCACTATACCCGTTCTCCCCGGACCCCGCATTCACTATACCCGTTCTCCCCGGACCCCGCATTCACTATACCCGTTCTCCCCGGACCCCGCATTCACTATACTTGTTCTCCCCGGACCCCGCATTCACTATACCCGTTCTCCCCGGACCCCGCATTCACTATACCCGTTCTCCCCGGACCCCGCATTCACTATACCCGTTCTCCCCGGACCCCGCATTCACTATATCCGGTCTCCCCGGACCCGCATTCACTATATCGGTCTCCCCGGACCCCGCATTCACTATACCCGGTCTCCCCGGACCCCGCATTTAATATATCCGGTCTCCCCGGACCCTGCATTCACTATATCTGATCTCCCAGGACCCAGCATTCACTATATCCGGTCTCCCTGGACCCTGCATTCACTATATCTGCTCTCCCACAGTACACAGAAATGCAATTATTTTAGTACATATAAACTGCTAAATACCTTTTTCTCATCAGCAGTTAGGGCAGTCTTGTGACTTCAGCAGAGCACAGGTTAAAGCAGTAGGAACAGTTTTCATTTTGCTCTAGGAGGCTGCAGAACCCCTAACCTCTGTCTGAACAGTGCTGATTGGACCTGTGCAGATCACATGCACTCTTCCTAGAAAAAAAAAACCTCTCCAGCAATACACACCAAACTGAGTATGTGCATGTGGCTACAGGTTCAGTGTGTCTTCTTAAGTGGACATCTGAACAAGAGGAGGGGCAGAGAAGTCAAGATCAAACAGTCTTTTTTACACAATGCAGAGGATTAACCCCATAGATTTTACAGTGAGTAAAACAAACATGCTTTACTGCATATACAGACTGATTTTACTGTTGTTGGTGTAGTAACACTTTCATGTTAGTGCACACCAACACTGGATTTTTTGGTAAAATATAAAAGTTGAGGTCGCGTCAAGTCATTAGATACAAAAAAATAGTCTTACCCACGCCACAGGTATTTAAACGTGTACTCCCAGCAAGCTTCTCAACATGTGCTACCCACTGTGTGCATACAATGGCATCGTATACCGGAGAATGACCTCAGAGCTATGCAAACAACATAAACCTAAACCCTAACAAATACTGAAATATAACACAGTATTAACCACTTCAGCTCTGGAAGATTTTAGCCCCTTCATGACCAGGATTTTTTTTTTTTGCTATACTGTGCTACTGTAACTGGTAATTGCGCGGTCATCCAACACTGTATTAATAGTAACGCTGTACCCAAAAAAATTTATATATTTTTGTCACACAAAAACAGCGTTTTTTTTGGTGTTTATTTGATCACCACTAGGGTTTTTTTTTATTTTTGCGATATAAAAGACCGAAAATTTTTGGAAAAAAAAAAAACATTTTTTTTACTTTCTGCAATAAATCATATCCAATATATACTAGAATGTATTATTTTTTTTTTTTTAGTACTACTAATGGCAGTGATCAGCAACTTATAACGGGACTGTGATAGTGCAGTGTGCAATCTGACACTAACTGATGATGGGGGTGAACTGACTGCCACTGACATCACCAGTGACATTAATATGCGCTACGTAAAGAGTGCAGAGTTCAGGGGTGCACTATGTACAGATTGCAGAGTTCAGGAGTGTGCTACGTACAGAGTGAAGACTTCAGGGGTGCACTACGTACAGAGTGCAGAGTTCAGGGGTGCGCTATATAAAGAGTTCAGGGGTGCGCTATGTACAGATTGCAGAGTTCAGGGGTGCGCTATGTATAGAGTTCAGGGGTGCGCTACGTACAGAGTGCAGAGTTCAGGGGTGCGCTATATACAGAGTTCAGGGGTGCGCTACGATTGCAGAGTTCAGGGGTGCGCTATGTCAAGAGTGCAGAGTTCAGGGGTGCGCTACGTACAGAGTGCAGAGTTCAGGGGTGCGCTACGTCAAGAGTGCAGAGTTCAGGGGTGCGCTACGTACAAGAGTGCAGAGTTCAGGGGTGCGCTACGTGCAGAGTTCAGAGGTGCGCTACGTACAGAGTGCAGAGTTCAGGAGTGCGCTACGTACGTGCAGAGTTCAGGGGTGCGCTACGTACAGAGTGCAGAGTCCAGGGGTGCGCTACGTACAGAGTGCAGAGTTCAGGGGTGCGCTACGTGCAGAGTGGGCGGTGCAGATTGCAAGTTCAGGAGTGCGCTACGTGCAAGTTCAGGGGTGCCTACGTACAGAGTTTTATTCTCTACAGAGTGTAGGGCCTTTGCTATGTGCAAAAAAAATATAATGTTTTGTGTACATGTAGGCAAAAAGGGTCAGAAAAGGCCTAGTCTTCAAATGGTTAAAAGAATTCTATCATATTCTCGTGCTCCAATAGTGTCTGTAAATCCAATGTAGAGCTCCAAATCTACTCAGTGATCTTGTTGTTACTCAGTGCTCCAGTGAAACACTACAAACAAGGTGAAAGACACCCCACACACCCCCACTTGGTGAAAGACTCACTAGAGGCTTATGACCCTGAAAAGATCGTGGGTTAATAAGCTTTTTGTGAACCTTGGGACCACACTTAGCCAGGCCGGGATCAGAATCCCCCACACCAGAGTTATCAGCATCTCAGACATATGGAAAGGGAAAAACCGCAGAACACATCTCCTTGTGCATCCCGTTTATTGAAAATTGGCATCAAACAAAATACAAATATCAATTCCCCTTTTTTGTTTCTAATCACATGATTCTATGCCTTAATCCGGAACCCTGTGTATCCGGCGATATAGTGTATACAGCCACCGCTGGTCTGATACCCAAAACCAGTGTGCACTCTGCTGCCAGGAAGTGACGTTGACGTCCAATGACCTGCCTCATAGCACAGATAACAATTAGTGAGATGTTCTATGTGTTTCTTTTAATACAGGTCAGGTTCCGAGACTTTCAAAAGTCAACTTATTTACGCTGCTGCTAAGCCTTTGGATGGAGGTTTTCCCGTCTCGTAAACATGCGGAGAACACAAAACAGCCTCAGGTATGTGGTGGGCCACGTACTAGAGAAATGTAATAATGTTTCTTTGTCATTTAAAGTGGAACCTTATTCAGAAAATTAAAGGATAAGTTCACCTTTCATAACATGTTACATCCATATTCAGGGAGTAACATATAACATGTCATGAATGCACCGGCCCCTGCTTCCCAGCTTTGACTGGGATCTTCTCTTCCCTCGCTGTCAAATTTTAATAAACCGTGGCCGTGCAGGGCTCCGCCTGTCCTTCCGCGTCACGGTGTTCTGTGAATGAGAAACTACAAGTCTCGACAGCCTTGTCGGCTTGTAGTTCTCCATGAACTACCACAGCACTTTGGAGCACTGTGGCAGTTCATTGATTCTTCCTCTCAGTATATCTGCTTGCTTGTACCTCCCGAACGGGCAAGCGGATATACTGACAGATCTGCAGGGGACCTGCATGGCACCAGCTATCTGCTGATCACTGTTGCAATGGTTTCCAGGCTCCTGCAACCAAAATGAATAAATGCTCATTTTTTTACCTGTAAAAAAATGTGCATTTATTATTTTTGGTAAAAAGGTCAACTTGTCCTTTACGTCCTGCTAGATCACTTTGCAGGTATAGCTACAGTATCTCCCAGAAGTGTGTCCACCCCTCACATTTTTGTAAAATATTTATTCTATCTTTTCATGTGACAACACTGAAGAATTTACACTTTGCTACAATGTGACGTAGTGAGTGTACAGCTTGAACTGGCCCATTATGACTCTAAGGTTCAAGGCAAATGGTACTGAATGTATAAATGTGTCCCCTAATTTAAAGCCCAGCTGCTGGTTGGGCAGCTCTCCCAAGTCATTTCCTGTCATCTCTCTTTTGGACTGAGGTAATTTGCAACAGTGACACCTGATAGCTGTGATGCTATAGCTCCCAGCTCTCTCATTGTTGCGTGGTGGCTCATATTTATTTATTATAGCTACTCATATGGTGCTGTCTATTTTACACAAGGCTCTACATACTACACTGCTCAAAAAAAATTAAAGGAACGCTTTGAAAACACATCAGCTCTCAATGGGGAAAATATGCTGGATATCTATACTGATATGGACTGGGTAATGTGTTAGGAACGTAAGGATGCCCCTTTGTTTAATGGAATGAAAGTTATCAACCTACAGAGGACTGAATTCAAAGACACCCCGAAAATCAGTGAAAAAATTAAAATGATGCAGCAGGCTAGTCCATTTTGCTGAAATTTGATTGCAGCAACTCAATATGGTACTTAGTAGTTTGTACAGCCCCCCACGTGCTTGTATGTATGCCTGACAATGTCAGGGAATGCTCCTAATGAGACAACGGATGGTGTCCTGGGGTATTTCCTCCCAGATCTGGAGCAGGGCATCAGTGAGCTCCTGTACAGTCTGAGGTGCAACCTGGTGGCGTTAGATGGACCGAAACATGATATCCCAGAGGTGTTCTATTGGATTTAGGTCAGGGCAAGCGTGGGGGCCATTCAGTGGTATGGTATTCCTTCATCCCCCAGGAACTGCCTGCATACTCTCGTCACATGAGACCAGGCATTGTGTACCAGGAGGCCCCAGGACCCAATGCACCAGTGTAGGGTCTGACAATGAGTCCAAGGATTTCATCCTGATACCTAATGGTAGTCAGGGTGCCATTGTCTAGCCTTTACAGGTCTGTGCGTCCCTCCATGGATATGCCTCCCCAGACCATCATTGATCCACCACCAAAACAGTCATGCTGAATGATGTTATAGGCAGCATAAGGTTCTCCATGGCTTCTCCAGACCCTTTCACGTCTGTCACATGTGCTCAGGGTGAACCTTCTCTCATCTGTGAAAAGCACAGGGCGCCAGTGGCGGACCTGCCAATTCTGGTGTTCAATGGCAAATGACAATCGAGTTCTATGGTGCCGGACGGTGACCACAGGGCCCACTAGAGGACATTGGGCCCTGAGGCCATCCTCATGAAGTTTGTTTCTGATTGTTTGGTCAGAGACATTCACACCAGTGGCCTGCTGGAGGTCATTTTGTAGGGCTCTGGCAGTGCTCATCCTGTTCCTTCTTGCACAAGGGAGCAGATACCGGTCCTGCTGATGGGTTAAGGACCTTCTACGGCCCTGTCCAGCTCTCCTAGAGTAACTGCCTGTCTCCTGGAATCTTCTCTATGCAATTGGCAATGGCACGTATTGATGTGCTATCCTGGAGGAGTTGGACTGCCTGTACAACCTCTGTGGGGTCCAGGTATCGCCTTATGATACCAGTAGTGACACTGACCCTAGCCAAATGCAAAACTAGTGAAAAACAGTCAGAAAAGATGAGTAGGGAAAAAAATGTCAGTGGCCTCCACCTTTAAAACCATTCCTGTTTTTGTGTTCATCTCATTGTTGCCCATCTAGTGCACCTGTTGTTAATTTAATTTAACACCAAAGCAACTGAAACTGATTAACAACCCCCTCTGCTACTTAACTGACCAGATCAATATCCCAGGAGTTTAATTGACTTTATGCTATACTCTGATTAAGGCTAGGTTTACACCTATGCAGTTTCTGCAGTGCATTTTTGCCACATTTTTGATGCGTTTTGATTTTTTTTTTTTCTTGTTCCTTGGCAGATTTAAAACACAATAGGCATCAGAAACACGGCAAAAATGCATTACATTCTTTTCTGCTGCATTTCCATTTTGCATTTAAAAAAAGTCCCTGACATTTTCCAAAAAATGGACCGGGTGAAAAGGTGGAGATAGGAATCATGTTAAATGGACTTTAGTGCGTTTCTGCAAATGCTGCGGAAAATGCTTAGGTGTGAACCTAGGGTAAAAAGTGTTCTTTTAATTTTTTTTGAGCAGTGTATTTATTCCCATCCATTCCTACCCTCAAGGAGCTTCCAATCTATCTCACATACATGCATACCAGGGACAGATTAGACAGGAGCCAATTAACCTCCTTTTATGTCTTGGAGTGTGGGAGGAAATCATTATCCAGACTGATCGTTTCTCACTTCTTTGTAGTTTCTTGATACTGTATTGTAATATCAGTTAATGTTTACTGCCATTTCATGCAAACGTGTGACAGCACCAAGGATCTCTGACTTTGAGCCAGAAAAAATGAAGCTGCAAGGGTAATGAGTGGATGACTTGACTCCAACATTTATATTCCTTTTGGATAGGCTGATGTGTTAATAGAATGTAGCTATTGTGTATTATAGGTCTTTCTTTGCCTTTATTACTTTACCCTCTTGTTTCTTACAGCAGGTAAAGAAGACGGGTCTTGTAGTTGTGGGTAACATGAAGATTATTGGCTTGCACTGTTCCAGCAGTGAGCTTCATGCAGGTCAGATTGCTGTTATTAAGCACGGCTCAAGACTCAAGGATTGTGATCTTTATTTCTCCAGAAAACCATGCTCTGCCTGCCTGAAAATGATTGTCAATGGTTAGTAACAAGCATCTGTGTCTCTGATGTCAGCTATGTCAGTATGTGTTTTGGGAAGAATTGGTGAGAATTAGCATGCAGTACACTTTTAGTCACCTTTGTTTTTTTTTGTTGCAAGTGCTCTTACACATTGATGGGTTGATTTACTAAAACTGGAGAGTGCAAAATCTGGTGCAGCTGTCCATGGTGGCCAATCAGCTTCTAACTTCAGCTTGTTCAATGAAAATGTTACTAAAACCACAACAGTAAAATCAGTCTGTATATGCAGCAAAGCATGCTTGCTATACTCACAGTGGAACCTAAGGGGTTAATCCTCTGCATTGTGTAAAGGGGCTGTTTGATCCTGACTTCTCTAATCCTCCCCTTCTTCCAATATCCCCCTCTTATCTCCTGATAAGTCATATCGTGTGGAGTCACTCTGCACATGCTCAGTTTGGTGTGTATTGCGAGAGAGGGTTTTTTTTCTTTTCTTGGGAGAGTGCACCTGATCAGCACAGGGCCAGTCAGCACTGTCTAGACACCGGTCAGGGGTTCTACATCCTTCTAGATATCGTATGTACTCTCCAGCGCCTCAGGATATGCACAGCCAAAAGGGTAGCCAAGGGTACCAGGACAGTGACAACCAAAGGAAATGCTTCAGGGGTGCAGCCCTCCTCAGACGGGGAAATCAGCCACTGGATAGAGAGAAAACAGGTGGCGCACACACCTAGTGCATTATCCAAGGTTTATTGTAGGAGTGAAAGAATAATAAAAACATACTCACAGACGAAGCATGTATCTAAAAAGCATAGAAAAATGACAATGGCCACAACGGCAGGCAAGGTGTTCTCACTGTCAGTGCGGTCAAATGGCTGACGCGTTTCGGGGACGAATCCCTTTCCTCAGAGCTGATGACCAACCTCTGATGCAGATGTGTGATGAATGGAAAGTAGGGGCATCAACAGCAAGGCTCCTACCTTCCATTCATCACACATCTGCATCAGAGGCTGGTCATCAGCTCTGAGGAAAGGGATTCGTCCCCGAAACGCGTCAGAAATTTGACCGCACTGACAGTGAGAACACCTTGCCTGCCGTTGTGGCCATTGTCATTTTTCTATGCTTTTTAGATACATGCTTCGTCTGCGAGTATGTTTTTATTATTCTTTCACTCCTTACAATAAACCTTGGATAATGCACTAGGTGTGTGCGCCACCTGTTTTCTCTCTATCCTTCTAGAGCAGAACAAAAACGCCTCTTACAAGCTTTAACATGTGCTCTGCTGGACACTGATAGAAGTCACAAGACAGCTCTAACTGCTGATGAGTAAAGGTATTTAGCTGTTTATATTTACTAAAATAATTGCATTTCCATGTTGTGTGTACTGCGGGAGACCAGATATATTGAATGCAGGGTCCGGGGTTTAGTAACACTTTAAGCTTTGATTAAAAAAAAAAAAAAAACTGGAAGCCGATTGGTTTTTATGCAGAGCTGCACCAGATTTTGCACTCTCCAGTTTTAGTAAATCAACCCCATGGTATTATCAGGTTTCTCTGATGCTGGCCATACACAGTTAGAAAATTGTTTTGAGGAAGAAAAAAAAAAAGTTTGGATTTATAAAGATCTGTCAAAGGTGCATGTGATAACGCCAAGGTTTTATCATTATTTGTCCCACCCATTACTGACATATTATTGATTTGATAGCAACATAAATGGTATATTTTTCGTTGATCGGTTATATTTTAACACGTGCATACGCTGTAGATTTTTTTCAATTGCGCTACTAGTGTTTAGAAAATCGATAGTTTAGGCTCAAAATATCCAACATGACAGGTTGTATTTTTGCCTTAAAATTTTGCATTTCGATAATCCAAAATTAGCTCACTACCGTTTCGAAAGTCGAACAACTGAGCATATCGACCACTTTTTCTAACGATTTTCTAACCGTCTTTGGCGTCCATTGTGCCTGTTCTAGTGAAGACTAAAAGAACTGATTGTACTTTGGTGCTAATGTTAATTATGCTAATTATCAGCACTTTTTAGATAGGTTCAGTGTAACTCTTAGCAAAGATTTAAATATAAGTGCAATAAAAACAGTTACAGTATGTGTATTGAACTAAAACCACTCTAAAGGTAGCTGTAGAGGAGCACATGAGTTAACCAAGCATGCATGGATTCTAAAAACCAGAACTGATTTAAACTATAAATAAAAGCAAAACCTTTTTTTTTTTCTTGTCTTAAATAGAGTGGAGAGAGATTAGATCACCTGTCAGATTTTTATTGCTGTCTGTTTCCCAGTTAGGGAGATTCACCCTCTCTATTTGTCCTGTTTATTATTATCACTGAAAGTGAAAGCTAAAGAAAATCCAAAATTTTGAGTTGTGCCCAGAAAAGTAATAGATGGGAAATCTTACAATGGGGACACTAGCTCTGGTGGTCCCCAATGAATTCCCTTAACTTTCAGGGATTTCCTCTCACTTCCTGTTTGGCTATGGGACAGGACATGAAGGGAAATCTCCACAATGGGATACAGATGGCGAAAAAAATGTGACGGGTTATAACCCTCCCTGGGTTTGTCCAAATTGGGGAAAAAAAAGTTTTGCCTAAAGTTCTACTTTAAGAGTCTTCTTCACTATAATCTTCCTAATTTTATTCAACAAAATTCTTATGTGTTTTATCTGTTTTTTATAGACTATATGAAACATTGTACAGCCTAAATCACCATTTAAAGTGTTACTAAACCCAGGACCCTGCATTCACTATATCTGGTCTCCCACAGTACACACAACATGGAAATGCAATTATTTTAGTAAATATAAACTGCTAAATACTTTTTCTCATCAGCAGTATATAGCAGTCTTGTGACTTCTATCAGTGTCCAGTTGAGCACTGGTTAAAGCTTGTAGCAGGAGTTTTGATTCTCCTCTGACTGTCCTATTAGGCTGCATAATCCCTGACCCTCTGTCTGGACAGTGCTGATTGGCCCCGTGCTGATCACCTGCACCCTCCCAAAAAGAAAGAAAACTCTCTAGTCATACCCACTAAACTGAGCATGTGCAGAGTAACTCTTAGAGCTCTGTACTATCAGCAGATGGATAGGGGACAGTTGAAGAAGGGGAGGATCATAGAAGACAGGATCAAACAGCCTTTTTATACGTGGAGGTTTAACCCCTTAGGTTCCACAGTGAGTATAACAATTATGCTTTACTGCATATACAGACTGATTTTGCTATTGTGGGTTTAGTAACACTTTAATATCTAGTACTGGCACTGCACACAGTATAACTCTAGGACTAGGAGGCAATGACTGTGAAGTGTATACACTAATTTATCCCAGTAATTTTTAACCAAATTGTTTTGTGTAAGGACTTCTATTTTAAAGCTCTTATTTTTTTTTGTATATATATAATTTTATTTTTTTATTTTTTTTTTAAAGCTGGAGTAAACCGAATTTCATACTGGCCATCAGACCCGGAAATGAGCCTCCAAGAAGAAATATCTGCTGACAGTGTCAATGGAGATGCCAGGCTAGATGCCAAGGCAGTAGAGAGGCTGAAATCAAACAGTCGTGCCCATGTCTGCGTGCTGCTGCAGCCACTGACATGTTACATGGTGCAGTTTGTTGAAGAAACCTCCTTAAAATGTGACTTTGTTCAGAAGATTGCCAGGAAGGAACCAGCATTCCCAATAAGCACTTTTTATGAGTATCGCCAGGAGAGGATTAAGGAATATGAAACCTTGTTTTTAATCTCCAGTGAAGACATGCACAAGCACATCCTTCGAATAATAGGGCTGGAGAATCTCTGTGAGAATCCGTACTTTATAAGCCTGAGACAGAATATGAAAGAGCTGGTGCTCATACTGGCCACAGTCGCATCCAGTGTTCCTAGGTATTCTGATTTTGGGTTCTACCTCAGTAAGACAAGCAGTGAGAGTGGCCCGAGTCTAACCCAAGAAATTGCCTGGCACTGTATAATTCAAGCCCGACTGTTGGCATATCGAACAGGTTAGTGGACGACTATACACATACTGTATCTACATCTTTTCCTTCCAGCAGTACACGAGAACCAGTCACTGGTTCAGCAAAGTCACCATGTTTATTTGGGAACTAGATAGACAAAGCATGCCTAGCCCATCTACTGTTTGACATCCTCTGGTAGGTGGACTGTCTGTTAAATTACCTTGAAACAATTCACGATAGCTGCATCAGAAAACAGCCAATCAGGTGGCAGCTAAAGTTACTCATAGATGGGCAGATCTTGTAGTGTCGATACAATCTGCTACTCTTTGCTTCTCATTTGCATATAAACTTATATTTTTTTTTATTACCTTTAAAATTAAGTTTTGCACTCACAAGCCCATCACAGTCTTCAAAGAAGATATAATATTAAGGTGCTCACTCATCATTTATATTTTTACCAATTTAATTTTTTTTTTGTTTGCTATTTTAGAAGACCACAAGATTGGAGTTGGTGCTGTTATTTGGGCAGAGCGGCAGTCTGTAAGTCATTTTTTCATTGTATTCGTTTACATTGACCTCATGATCTACACATCTTTTCTGAAATTGGATGTGTATTTAATTTGTGCTGGTCAGAGAAGTATAGATTAAAATGTTAATCTTTTAAAGAGAAATGTTTTCCCATATAAGAAGTGAAACACAGTTCAGCAGGTAGTGGTGCCTGATCACTGGAATATCTGAAGAAGATGTCAGTGTTTGCCATAGATACAAATCAGATTGTCCCTTTTTGAAATTTCCTTTTTTTTCCTTTTTAATCAGATTTTATTTTCAAAAAAAAGTGTTGTTTTTTTTTTTTTTTACAAATAAACAATAGATTAATAGGTGACACTAAAATAGACTTAATGCAGAGGTTGAGGCCAGTTTGTAGGCACATAGGTATACAGTGATACCAGGCCTCATGAAGTGTATAACAATAAACATTTCAAAGGCTGACATAGCCACCGTGTTCCAAGTCATATATAACTGTATTTAAATTAGCCTTGGTACATAGTGGGATTCAGATAGTACAGACGAACTTGACGGGCATGAGTACAGAAGCCCAGTAGAGCATATCCGTATTTATGCAGCACCTTGGGTAGCATTGTGCCATTTTCCCTCCTCATCTTTCAGTACAGCTTTCTTGAGAGATGATCGGTTCTGTCCTCTACAGGGAACACAAATCAAAAAGCGTTTAAAAGGCCCCTCCTGTCCCAAAGTTGTTTTGTGTTTCTAGATCCTCCAGGAGTACACTATGCAGTGTTTGTTGTGTTCCCCAGGTTCTGATGACTGTGTTTGTTAGACCCCCTTCTGGTGCGTAGATCTGTTTTGTCTGGCTTTCATTTTTTTCCAGAATGCTTTTCCCCTCGTTTTCCACTGATACCTGCCTCATGTTGGGAGGTGACTCCAGTGGCGCAGTTCACCTTCAGGTTCCTGGTGGTGTGATTTGCCACAGCTTTCACATGGTACAGGTGAGCTGTGATTGTCTCTGTCTGTACCATGTGATTACTGTGACCAATCACAGAGATCACAATAGTACCCAATGAATGGCCACGAATTAATGCCATTGTGTACAATTGACGTGATTGCTATGATTGGTCAAAGAGATCACGTGGTACCAGGCCTAGCCTAGTACAATAATTTTCTTCCACTGTGCCTGCTGGACACAGTGGGTGACAGATTGTCCCGTTGTGCTGCCCCTAGGGCATGCACAAGGAGGACATATGATGTCCACCCAGTATAACGGTGGTTAAAGTAGTACCGCAGACAGATCGCTACAGCATGTGTTCACTGTTTTACTTTACAAAGGATTTGTAGTTTTGGCCATCCATTGTTGTGACACCATCACTTTATCAGTCAGTAAGATCAATCTGATATTTCTTAAGCTACCCATATATGGATTGAAATTCAGCAGGGACCAGCCAAATTTTGATCCATATATGGGCACTGTAGCTGTACAGAAGTCGATCTACCAATTGACTTCTGTACAGCCGCCCTGCCAGATATTCCCTGCTTGATCTGTGCTGCAGGCTATAGACCCCGCTGGTTGAACAAAAAAAAAAACAACTCATGTATAGGCTGCCTTAGTTTATTGCTACATCTTCCTGGGAAAATCCAAGGACTCATTGCCCCAAAGCTGCAAATGGTGGCAGGTGCCAGTCTTTGGAGCCCAATCACACTCCCATGATGGTGCTTCCTTAAAAATCTTTATTGATCAAACCATGCACACACATTCAGATGCCCACCTTGGAGACACACCTCTCAAACACATTTCACCCATGTATGATTAAGCCTGGATGGGTGAAACATTTTAGTGGAGCAGGTCACCTAGGGGGACATCTGAATGTGCACTGTTTGATTAATAAATATTTTTAGGGAAGTGTCATCACTGGAGTGTGACCTGGCTTTCAAAACACAAGTTTCTGGGAAAGTTTTACAGCTTTCTAGATAAGCTCACTGAACATAGGGGATGGTGGTGCTGATTCACTGTTGCATGAAGGGGCTGAAGGCAGAGAGGTGACATAGGTAGCTGAATAGCAGAACCCGGAAGATAAAGTGCATAGTACAGAACTACAGTGGATATAAACAGTCTACACACCCCTGGTAAAATGTCACGTTTCTGTGATGTAAAAAAATGAGACAAAGATAAATCATTTCAGAACTGACCTATAAACTGTACAACTCAGTTGAACAACAAACTGAAATCTTTTAGGTGTAGGGAATTGTTTGTAGGTCACATTAAAGTTGAAAAAAGTTCTGAAATAATTTGTTTGTCTCATTTTTTTACATCACAGAAACCTGACATTTTAACAGGGGTGTGTAGACTTTTTATATCCCCTGTATGTGTGTCACCTGTCTAGCTGTTCAATGCAGACATTTTGTAGCCATCAAATGAATAGTTGTAGTGAATAAGGAATCCCTTGGTAGATAAAACAGTGAACATAAATGTTTGATTGATCAGAGTTTTCTTTTATTAATTGTGGTATCCAGAGTAACTAGTCAGCCTCTCACTTCCTTCTTTGTAAAATAGATGCGGAAAGGAAAAGAAGAAGCAAATTACTTGTCAGAGGAAACTGCATGTGTCGCCAAAAAAAGAAAAAGTAAAAGAATGAAATTGGTTATCGTAGGCAATATAGATCTTCTTCTCATTTTGGACTTTTACAGCCACACTGCCCTAAGCTAACCTTGAAAAGCCTGCTGGAAAGGAGCCATAGGGGTTGATTTACTAAAGGCAAATTGGCTGTGCACTTGGAAGTGCGTTGCTCTAGATCTGAGGGGAACATACAAGGAAAAAAAAAAAACCAGCATGTTTGCTTGCACATGATTGGATGAAAGAAATCCGCAGAGCTTCGCCCCATTTCAAAGCTTCCCCTCGGATCTAAAGCAACTGAACTTGCAGTGCACAGTATATTTACCTTTAGTAAATCAACCCCATAGACGTGGGAGTAGAAGGGTTGTGTTCAATCAGTTTCATTCACAAGAATGCAGAAATAGAAGTTTGGAAATAGAGCTGACAGGTGACATGTGCAGTCTAGTTCCTCTTAGTTGCTGTATGTAGATCTTCAAAGTATTAGATTTTACAGTAGCCTGGTATCAGCATTGTGTGCATAGGGTGTATGCATGCACAAGCAGCCTATATGAGTGTTGTATTTTTATCTGTGGGTGTCTGAAAGCCCGGCAGCTAATAATACACAGATGACTGCAACTCTCTATTCATTGGGAAATATATAAATGCATTTTTTTTAAATGCAAGCAGTGTAAATACCTGAATTTGACTTAGTGGTTGTAAAGGAAGAAGGTTTTTTTTTTCCTTCATGCATTCCCTGCATTAAGGTAAAAGACCTTCTGTGTGCAGCTCCCCTCCCCCAGCCCACCTTTATACTTACCTGTGCCCGATCTCGGTCCAGTGCTGTGTCTGAGAACAGTGACTCTCTCTCTCCCCACTGGAAATCGAGGCAGCAACAGAAGTTCCATTGTCTCCATCTGCTGTCAATCACAGCCAATGAGGAAAGAGCGTAGGGCTGGGACTTCGTCACGGTGTGTGCGTGAATGGACACACACTGCGAGACTTAGGAGCAAGCCAGCATGAGTACCTCCATAGCAAGCAGCTTGCTATGGGGGCACTCAAAACTGGGGAGGAGCCAGGAGCGCTGGTGGGGGTCCCCAGAAGAGGAGGATTGAGGCTGCTCTGTTCAAAACCATTGCACAAAGCAGGTAAAAAAAATGGTGTTGCGCTCCCTAAATGGTATCTAAATAAACTAAATACAGCCCATAAATATATACATTAATCCAATAATCTAATGCATATAGATATTAGGGAGCGCAACACCATTTTTTTCATTGTTCATTAGCACATTCAGGTTTTAGTCAGGTGATAGCAGCTCCCCACATATATATATCTGTTTAGTGTATAGTTTGTGTAGTTGCAGTAGCGCAGCTGGTTTACCTATTATTCTAAAATGTTTATTATTTACAAAAAATTGTTGCTTTTAGAATTCCTTTAAAACTGCCTTTTTGCAAACCACACTACAGCAGAGCTCAGACTCTTAGAGTAAGAAGCAACACAAGAGCTAGTCAGCTGTGCTGCAGTGCAAGGGGCATGCTGATAAGAGGGGAGAGCAGAGTGACCAGGAGAAGAGGTTATTTGTGTGCTGGTTCCCCTTTCAGTGTCCTGTCAGAGAGTGGGTATGGGGGAGACCTGTAAGTGTAACTGAACCGCAGTTGAGAAAGTCAGGATTACTCCCCAGCCAGACAAAGCTGTACTATTTGACAGAGTTGTGTAATTCTCAGGATTGGATGTACAGAAATACAAATCCTCTGGAAGGTAAAGCTTTCTTGTATGTATTTGTTTTGCATGTTTCGCTTCTTAGAGTTTAGTTGTAAATGTATTTTTTTAAATGTAAGCAGTATAAGTACTGTATCAGCCTCTTGCAGCCCCTGTGCAACAGGGCTGAGACAGATAGAGGGAGAAGCAGCAAAAGGAATCGGTCAGTCAATTATACTACAGTGCAAGGGGCAAGCATAGGTGGAAGGAGCAGAGTGACAGAAAAATGAGCTCCTCAGTGTGCTAACTCTCCTCTCCTGGGTTGGGTTTGGGTGACCTGTTGAACTGCAGAAGAGAAAAGTTGAGCCTCCTTCCCTGCCAGACTGTATGACAAAGCTGTAAAAAAAATCATAACTGGATGGACAGAAATACAATTCCTTTGGCATGTAAACCAACTCCCATGTTTCATCTGTGTATTTAGTTGTTTGACTAAGGTTCAGTTTTAACAGTTTGTTGACCTTTCATATCAGAGCTAATTTAACCTTGGTTGTCTCAAAGTTCACAGTGCACACCCTTTTATGTTGCTGATTTCATTTAGGTTATCTTTCCTTCCTTGATCTCCAAAGTTCTTTGTCTATTAAAGTGTTTGTAAACTTCAAATGTGAAACATGAACAAAACATATTCCTCTATGGTGTGTACTTGTCTCAATCCAGAGCACTTAGTGTAATTTCTGTCTGCTGTCTAGTTCCTCTGCTATCTGAATGAGTCTTTTCTGACAAGAGGTGGTACCAAGAGCTGAAAGGTGACAGGGGAGGGAGCTCCAGGCCTGTGATTGACAGTCTCAGCTGTGTTCCTGTGTGCTGTGTGAAGGGGGGGGGGGGTGTCTCTTTCCTTCAGTCAGGGCTCAGAGCTCTACTCACTGAGATCTGCAGTGTGTAACTGAAGCTCTCCACCCCCTGCTTTTCAGAGCTGAGGGATACTGCGTAAATTCTGCACTGTGAATGGATGTAGAGAAGACTGCAGATAAACTGGTACAACTTATGTAGGAGGATTTGTTTCATCTCGATGTATGATCTGAGATCAATTACTTCACTGGGTATACAGTATGTAAGGGTTTACATACACTTTAAGCTTGCTTTAATGGCAGCTTCACCAACAGGAACATGTGGCTCGGTCTCCCACACCGCAGAACTGAGGTTTGATGATTGGTTGCTCAGGCACCCAGCACTGTCACATTGGAGAGTAGGCAGCCTTGTATAAGTTGTAACTAGGGTTTACTTTCTTTCCCTTTTAGCGGCAAAATGGAGGTAAGACAAAGGGCTGACCTGTTGCTTAAGACTGCATTGGCATAGTACTGGTTCACTTTGATCAAGAGAAAGTAACAAAACTGTGCTGGCAATCCAAAAAAGTAGTGGGCAGGACTAGGTGTGGCCAGGTGCTGATTGACAATCCTGACGGATATGAGCCTTGAAGCTTGGATTCTGCATTGTATGTCATTGAAGGGATACAGACTCTGCCCCTGCTTCATGTGTATAAATCTGCCCAAGCAAACAATTTAAGAAGAATATACTGCATGTGTGTGTATATATGTACATGTTATATATATATATATATATATATATATATATATATATATACATACATACACACACACACATATACACACACAGTGCTCAGTATAAATGAGTTCACCCCAGCAGATTTGTCAGAAAACCTTAACTTTCCTTTCAGAATCAACATTTTCGATGGGTCACTATACTACAAAATACTCCCACATTTGCAGGCCTTTGATTGCAAACAAGATTTGTTAATTTGGAAACACAAAACATTTTTTTTTCTAACAAAGTCATCCAAAACCATGTTGCAAAAAATTGATACATCCCAATCTTAGGAGCAAGCTAAATTTTAGACAAAATCCTAATTAACTAGAATTCAACTATGGGGGAGTCTAATTATTCAGTAAACGGGTGTCTCGCAGACAGTTCACAATAAAAGGGCGTTCTTTAATAAAGAAAATCCTGTCCCATTTCATGCTGTCGGCAATGGCACCACACGGAATAGAAATGTCACAAGGCCTGAGAAAGAGAAAATAATTTCTTTACCCAAGAAAGTTGAAGGCTACAAGAAGATCAGCAAAGCTTTTCTTATCAGTCAGAATACTATAGCAAAAGTGATACAAAAATTTAACAAAGATGGAACTGCAACCATCTCACAGAGACATCCAGGCCATCCACGGAAGTTAATACCTTGAGTGTCTTCTGATTAAAAGGGTTGAAGCAAATTGCCAGGCAAGTTCATTAAAGTTAGCTAAAGAAGTAGAAAGCCAAACTGGGGTGCTTGTTTCCTGTGACACAATACAGCGTACACTGCAGAGGAATGGCATGCATGGGTGTCATCCACGAAAAAAAGCCTTTCCTAAAGCTCATGCACATAAAAGCCCACCTAGAATTTGCCATGGCTCATGCTGAAAAAGAAGACTACTACTGGGACTCTGGAGTGATGAAACCAAGATAAATGTTTTTGGAACCGATGGCTTCAAAACTGTATGGCGGTGCAAAGGTGGGGAGTACAAAGAAAAATGCATGGTGCCTACAGTGAAACATGGTAGTGGGAGTGTCCTTCTGTGGGGCTGCATGAGTGCTCCTGGTGTCGGGGAGCTGCATTTTATTGATGGTATCATGAATTCACAGATGTACTGCTCTGTATTGAAAGATATTGCTACCATCACTTTGTGCCCTTGGTCGTCCTGCACTTTTCCAACAAGACAATAATCCAAAACACATCTAAGGCCACTGTTGCATTTCTGAGGAAGAACAGGGTGAAAGTGATTCATATACATACAAACACATTTATATATACACATTTATTTCATGCTTTGTGAGCACATGACAAACAGTAGGGATTTCTCAAATTTGACTGCAAAAGAGGTAATACACTTTAAGAACACAAATGTATATTTTTGGTGTGAATATTGTGCAAATGAAGAAGGTCTGCAGTCCAGCTTGCATTTTGGAACATAATTGTGCAGCACATTTCACAAACTATGGTGTCCTTTTATGAAACTGAGATTAGTGGTGATCCTAAGGATCATTGCTGATCTCAGATCATTAGTGGTTTAGGAAACAGATGATCAGCGGAGAACATGTTCTCCACTGATCATCTCTGCACACAGATGACCAGTATAGGAAGGAGCGATGTCAGCCCTTAACTTGCGATCTGTGTTCTTCCTTCAGATTCTCCAACCCAGAGGTGGAGAATCGGGGGAGCAGCAAACAAAACAGCGGTATTTTACTACTGCTTAGTAAACTGTGTGTTTGACTGATCTTGCGAGATTACAGTAACAGCAGCCGTTTTCTAGCATTCAAAGCGTTTGTAGATCACTTCTCTCCTCATTAGGAGAAGCGATCTACATCGCTTTGTGAACAGGCATTTAGAGGAGAACTCAGAATTCAGAGGCCATGTACTGCTGCATAATAAAAGGACACCTATATCACTGTGTACTTACACAGGATGGTTTCCTGTCAAACTGTAAATACTTCCCAGTGACTTGTGTGATTTCCCCTGTTTCCAGGACTCCTCAGACTGTGACGGCACAGGACCCATGTATTTTCTGGGTTGTGGATACAATGCTTTCCCTGTTGGTTCAGAATATGCTGATTTTCCTCACATGGATGACAAGCAGAAAGACAGAGAAATCAGGAAGTTTCGATACATTGTTCATGCAGAGCAGAATGCCATAACATTTAGGTAAGATGTTACTGGATAAAGGATTGGTAAAAATAAAAGCAGACACATTTTTAAAACACGCGTTATACATACCCATTAATACATATACAGTCATCTCATTGTGGAGGTTTCTCAACTTGAGAAGCAATCTGCAGGACTAAACTGACTGGGGGTAGATAACACTGGAGGAAGGGAGGGATGGTAAGGCTGGAAAAAATGGGAGAAACACAGGGACACACAGGTGAGATATGTTTTGCTTTTTTTAAAATTATTATTAGCACCCATGATGTTATAGGTATAACGCATACACTATATTGCCAAAGGTATTGGGACACCTGCCTTTACACGCACATGAACTTTGATGGCATTCCAGACTTAGTCCATAGGGTTCAATATTGAGTTGGCCCACCCTTTGCAGCTATAACAGCTTCAACTCTTCTGGGAAGGCTGTCCACAAGGTTTAGGAGTGTGTCTATGGGAATGTTTGACCATTCTTCCAGAAGCACATTTGTGAGGTCAGGCACTGATGTCGGATGAGAAGGCCTGGCTCGCAATCTCTGCTCTACTTCATCCCAAAGGTGTTCTATCGGGTTGAGGTCAGAACTCTGAGCAGGCTGGTCAAATTCCTTCATCCCAAACTCACTCATCCATGTCTTTATGGACCTTGCTTTGTGTACTGGTGCGCAGTCATGTTGGAACAGGAAGGGGCTATCCCCAAACTGTTCCCACAAAGTTAGGATCATGAAATTGTCCAAAATGTCTTGGTATGCTTACGCCTTAAGAGTTCCCTTCACTGGAACTAAGGGGCCAAGCCCAACCCCTGAAAAATAACCCCACACCAGAATCCCCCCTCCACCAAACTTTACATTTGGCACAATGTAATCAGGCATAAGGTTCTTAGGGGTGAATGAAGGGTCCAATCGGGTCCTCCTGAAAAACTGATTGGACTCTTCATGTGAAAGGGACCTTATAGAAGTTTATTGGCAACGTCTACTTTGTTTTAGCCTAAAATGGCTGATAACATAGATACAGTAATAAGCTGTGCAGAAAACGATTTAAAGACTAAGTGCAGCCAAAATCACAAACAGAAAAATCAGCACAAAGGACATACCTTATAGTCCGTAGGATGTATCCCTTGTGCTGATTCATCTTCTGTTATTGAAAATCTTTCTCCCTTTTGCCCCCCACCCCTTCCATCGTAATCTTCCAGTGTGGCAGGTGTTAATTCAACTAACAGCCTGTCAAAGACTCTCGACAAGAGAGCCTTGCTAGGCCTGCCCTTTCCATCCAGCTCCACCATTCATAAAAGCCATACTATAGATTGTGAATGAAACAGGATCTAACAATGGAGGATGGACGGATGATTGATTCATCCGTCAGTTCATTCATAGATATTTGGTATCTGCCAACAGATAGTTCTTAGCTTTGAGTCTTATGACATTTACAGCAGAATGGATGGAAGTTATTTAAAGATTTGAAAATGATATTTTGGGTCCAAAAGATTTATTAATAATATACGTTTGCAGAGTTCCTATAAAAACAGACACGTGCTGGTGCTTTAAATGTAATCAGTTCAGTAAATACAAATTTCTTATCTACAACTTTTCCCATATGGGATAGAATACAGCTAGGCAATTCTTAACACCCCTAACAATTTTATCCAAGAGTTACATCTAGTAGTGTTCCAAAAAAAATCAGTGCATCCTATTAAGATTGGTAAAATGTCTATTAAGTGTCTAAATGTTTGTGGACACCTGACCAAAACACTTACATGAGCTTGCTGGACATCCCATTGCAAACCATGGGACTTCTGTGCTGCTGAATAAGCCTCTAATCTTCTGGGAAGGCTTTCCACAGGATTGTGGCAAATATCTGTAGGAATTTTGTGCCCATTCAGCCAAAAGAACATTAGTGAGTTAGATGCTGGTGTTGGATATGAAGATCTGACTCGTTATCACTGTTCTAATTTATCCCAAAAGTGTTCAGTAGTGTTGAGGTCAAGGCTCACTACTTCAGTTCCTCCACATTAAACTCATCATATCAGGTCTGTATGGAGCTGGCTTTGGAGATAGGGGCACAGTCATTCTGGAACAGAAAAGAACCTTCCCCAATCTCTGCATAAGATTGAAGGCCCACAGTTGTCTAAAATGTCTTTGCATCCTGTAATGTTAACAGTATACTTCACTGGAAACATCTGCACCAAGTGTTTTGGTGGAATGGTCACATATTTATGACTACTGTAGTTAGATGTAATAGTCAAGTGTTTACAATCTTTTGGTCATACAGTGTACATTATATTATTATTATTATTATTATACAGGATTTATATAACGTCAACAATTTGCTCAGAGCTTTACAATATAAAGGGAGACTTCATCCCACTTAAGTTTAAGCAGGCCATAAATGGATCGAAATTCAGCCTGTCCCCGCAGAACTAGCTGAATTTTGATCCATCCATGGCCAGCTTAAACTTTACTGAGATCCATCTATGGCTATTCCTGCTCAACAGAAGATGATCTAACAATAATTTCTATTGAACAGGAATGTTACAAAATTTTCATTCAATCAGCAGCTGCAGCCAAATGGCTGCAAAGCTGATCAGTGTATTTTGATAGTGGAGGAGTCCCCATTGTCAGAATACAATAGTGCAGCAGGGAGGATTCCTCCATCCAGTTGTTTGTGTGGATGGGGAACTCTTCTTTTTTTTTTTTTTTTTTTTTTTTCCCCAAGTCATCCCATAGGCTGATAGTATAAAAAATGTATGGGCTCCCATAGAATGGGACAGTGCATGGCCTTGAACAGTTTCATAGGAATTCATCCACATAACTAATCTTGATAAGAATCTATGACAAAGGTGTTTGAGCACTCAGAAACACTAGATGTAGATTAAAAAAAGTAAGCGAAGGATCACTTTCTGAAAGCATCTCACTGTTTGTAAAGGCTGAAGCATAAGTAAAGCTGGCTACACACTATTTAAATATCAAATGAAATTTTTCAGTACATTCACATGTCATTCAAAGTAGTTCAAGATTTCATTTGCTTTAAGATTCACTTTTGGAATGAATGTACTTTATCAAATCACATACACTGTTACAAATTTGTTCCTTCCAATTTTGTTGTCATTGTGGTCGAAGACTAATGTAGATTTGACCCCCCTAATGATTGGAATAGCGAACAGAGATTCTTACACTGAAAAATGTCAAACAATATTCTACTAGTGAATACCCAGCTTTACTCTTTCCCCTATTTTATATATAGTATTTCAGATTTCCTGTTACTTCAGCTTTCTTCATATCACTTGAAGTATTCTCAATCCCTTTGCAGATACAATGAGATTAAACCAGATGAAAACAGCATGATCTTTGTGACAAAATGCCCTTGTGATGAATGTGTCCCCCTGATCAAAGGCTCCGGCATCAAGCAGATCTATGCTGGAGATGTGGATATTGGAAAGAAGAAGGCTGACATTTCATACATGAAGTTTGCAGAACTCAAGGGAGTCAGTAAATATGTAGTAAGTGTTGAAGGAAATGAATCTGTCACTTTAGCTTATCAGGGCAGACATATTGGTGAAATGGCAGCAACTCGTTCTTTGATAAAGACTTTTTATACACATGCATTTTCCTCATACAGTTCCTTTTTTATTTCAAGGTTGTTTCTGTTCTTTTACAAAAGTAATTCATTTTCTTTTTATGTGCAATTGTGTCTACATGAAAGGTATAGTTGTAAAAACTTTTCAAGTAGTGATATTTTTATAACTGCGCTGAAAAAAATGTTGGTGCTAATGAATCCAAAATAAAAGACTCTCCAGTTTACAAAATATTCAGTAGCAAAGTTCTGTTTTGTCAACTTAGGCTAGGATAAATTTTGAAAAATGTTTAGTAAATGACTTGTAGGGATATCTTAAAGTGTTACTAAACCCACAACAGTAAATCAGTCTGTATATGCAGTAAAGCATGCTTGTTATACTCACTGTGGAACCTAAGGGGTTAATCCTCTGCATTGTGTAAAAATGCTGTTTGATCCTGACTTCTCTGATCCTTCCATTTTTCCAGTGCCAATCTCTTATCTCCTGATAAGACATATCGTGTGGAGAAACTGCACATGCTCAGTGTGGTGTGTATTGCTAGAGAGGTGTTTTTTTTTTTCCTTGGGAGAGTGCATGTGATCAGCACAGGGCCAATCAGCACTGCCCAGACAGAGATCAGAGGTTCTGCATCCTTCTAGGGAAAACTCCTCCTACAAGCTTTAACAAGTGCTCTGCTGAACACTGATAGAAGTCACAAGACTGCTCTAACTGTTGATAGTTATTCAGTTATTATACCTAACTGCTGACAAGGAATTTAGCAGTTTATATTTACTAAAATAATTGCATTTTCATGTTCTGTGTACTGTGGGAGACCAGATATAGTGAATGCAGGGTCCAGGGTTTAGTAACACTTTAAGCCTTGTACACACGAGCCCCCCCCCCCCATGCCAGGCCACATCACTCATTCACAGTCCTCTGTGAATGAGAGCCTACAACTCCTGATAGCCTTAGCAGCTATCAGCTTCTAGTCCTCAATGAACTACCATGGTGCTGTGGAGTGCTGTGGTAATTCATTCATTCTTCCTGTCAGTATATCTGCTTTCTTGTACATCCCATACAGGGAAGCAGATATACTGACAGATTTGCAGGAGACCTGCGTGGCACCAGCAATCTGCTGATCGCTGGTGCAATGCGTTACAGGGTCCTGCAGACAAAATTAGTAAATTCACATTTTTACCTGCAAAAAATTGTGCATTTATTATTTTTTACTAAAAGGAGAACTTATCCTTTAAGAAGTATGGGCAAAGTTGTTTTGCTGTAATGCTTCTCATCTGTAATTAGCTGACAAAAACCTGCCGTCGGCTGACATCACAGCTCTGGCTGGATCCAGACAATAATGTCGGGATCCACCTAGTTGCCCGATTGACAGCGGGCTCAGGCTCTCAGAGAGCCAAAGCCAGCTGAGCCTGCCCCAGCTCCACACTAGTGCTCTAGTGAGAGCTGGAGGGGCAGAGCAGAGAGTGGCAACTGACCATTACCTTTGCTCCTTTTAAGACCAAGAACTGAGCGATCGTAAGTAGCGCTGCCAAATGGTGACCTCATCTGATAGGATGTAGTCACTATTTAGCCAATCATTTCCACCCAGCTCTGTCCATTTTTAAATCAACTTTTGTTGAGCTAGGTGGTGGCTCAACAAAACTCAAACTTCAAACTATGGCCAGCTTTAATAGTGGATGGGGGCAGGAACCGTTACTGTCCTGAATGGGCAAAGTGACAGTGTGCCTATAAACTAGAAACGTTTTTGTGACTATCTTATTAAACATCCTTTTTGTTTCAACAGTGGCAGAAAAACCCGCAAAGCTCTTCTGATAATTCATCTGATTCCAGCTATGAGGACAGAGTAAGTATGCTGTAAATTGTTTGTAGCTTTCCAGTCCTACTGCCTGCTACCTAGCCGTTGTGTTAAAGCGGTATTAAACCCAAAACCAAAAATGTAATCTATTTCAGTTTACCAGTCCTTAGATGTGGTGGCTTCATTCATGTTCTTTTTTAGGCTTTTTCCCTCTGTTTGCAACTGGAGATCTGGCTAGTAACACACCTACTTTATTAGAGTGCCACCACTCTGAAGGAGCACAGGGGGCACCTTTGGACAGCAGCATTGTCCGTCTGGGGGGAGGGGAGTGTTAGAAGTAGATTTAGATACACTAATAAATTGAAGCTAAACTCCAGTTCGCACTGCAGTTACAGCAACTGTTTTTTGTTTTGTTTTTTTTTAGTTGTAGGATAAAGGTTTTACATGAATAAATAAAAGCTGTTCATCGTAAGCACCCCTGTCAGTGCTAAATGGGTTGTCTCAACACTCTAACTGCTAAGTTTGCAGTACAGCTTGTTCTGTTGAAAAAACAACAGACTTACTGGCAGGATCATAAAGTGAAAATAAAGGAAAGGAAGCCAAAAAAAAAGAAAAGTAATGTAGTCATCACATTTAAGAAGTGGTAAGCTGCGATATGATGTTTGCTTTTGGGTTTAATGCTGCCATGCAATTGTCACAAGAAAGACTCAGATCTGTAGTATTTATGTATGACCACTGAAAGTGAAATGTCACACAAAAGGGGAAGTTCTGGTTGTTTAAATCCCCCCCCCCTTTAACAACTGGAACTTTTTGAGGGGCAGAGCGGGTACCTAGTTTTGTGCAGTGGGAAACCAGCCATGAAGCCACAAGCTTTCACTGCTGGTTTCCCTTAGTTAGGGTTCCGGCACCTAGACCCGAAGCCAATTGAAGAATTGGCTCTGGCAAGGTCAGCACTGGATCCCAGGACAGGTGAAATTCCTTCTATTAAAAGTCAGCAGCTACAGAATTTGTGGTTGCTGACTTTTAATTTTTGGGGAGGAGACTGGAGCTCCTCCTTAACCCCTTGATGCCAAGCGCACGCAAATATGTGGCCTCATATTTGCGTGCAATTAGAAAATACATATGTGCTGAGAGCGCACGCCCTGCGCGCTCCCAGCACATATGTCCATGACTCACGGAAAGGTCCCGTTCTCCCCTTCCGATTGGGACCTTTTTTGATCATGTGACCGTGTTGATGGTGAATCACAGTGGTCACATGACCCTAAACCCCTGCCTGCCGGCTTTTGAAACTCTTAAAGGGCCGGGAGGCGCCTGCGCAAAGTGGTTAGACTAATAATACAGCTAATCTATAATGCTGCTGCATGACTGGAGTCACTCTGTAGACAAGCTGTTGATAAACATTATTGTACAAACAGACTCCTGTTGAAAGATCAGTTTGTAGTTATCGCCGTTTGTTCTGGATTTCTGATTCCTTATTGAGAAATCCAAGTAACTGTTATAACATTATGTATATACCAGCATCATTTGTATTTAAACATTTGCTCTTTTCATATGATGAATTATTTTCAACAATGATTCATCATCAATTTAACGCACGTGACTTACTCTGTATCACGTGTTCATTGCCATACACTTTGCTACACCGTCTGTGGATCGCAAATGAGAATTTAGCCTAATACTCTGCCTATGCTGGCATTAATCCTCTAAAAATTGTTATAACTAGCATGAGTCTAAAGGGCAAATGTCTTCCAACAGCCGGGGAATGCAGTCTATTCCAGAAATGGTCATATGTCCACATTTGACAGTCCTTTGTAAATATGCCTGTAATATGTTGTGCTAACATAATATCTGGTTTGATTCTTCAGTGGGGTTTCTTGACGTTAGTGTCTAGTCTAGTGTGCATTGATCTATACATGACTGTGTATTAGTCCGTTTTTGTCAACCCACCAAGACCTCCCTTGTATAATCCGTTTTCTTTTTTTGGTCCAACTTTGTGTTGACGTCTCTTCTTTATTTTGCAGATGGAGGCTTGAAAAACAATGCACAAGATGATTTATCTTTTAAGAATACGAGAATGTGTCTTGGGGAAAGCTTATAAGCTGCGTGTTCTTTTTCCTACCACAGAATGTTCTATTTTCTGAGTTATTTTAGAAAAGATTTTATTTATTTCACAACAGAAAATTCTATTTTAAGATTTACAGTGAATTATTTATTTTAATAATTTGACTAGTTTATACAGACTGATGAAGTTTTACTCTTGTACAGCAGAAAAGGAATCTCACACTCTCTCACTTATGAATGCTGCACACACTTGGATAGGTTGGCATCAATATCCTGTCTAATCCAGAAGCACTGGGTCAAGGTTTTTAAAGATCCGAAACTCAGGTTATACCGTATCTCCAGTTACACTGAAAAGTGTTTCATATTTTGAAGGATACCATAATCCAAATATGTCATTCATATAACATTTTATAGATAATACAGACGTGGTTTTACCATACTGGAATGCCAGTTTAAATACAAATACACTGGAATATGCTCCAGTGGCTAAAGCCTGTTGTAATGAGATTTCCACTCTGTGTCTCTTCCCTTTCCCACAAATAGGCAACCACAGCCTCTCCGCTAGAATCCCCAAATATTTTTGATTTCAACCTGCTGGAGAATCCATCAAGGGGGTGTAACTGTGCTCATTTTGCTCTGTAATGGCTGTATCATTTGGTCGGACCTCAGAATATCTCAGTGCTGTAGTGCCTGAGAAATATACGAAGCCTCGTGTGATTCAGGTTGTCATCCTCCATGTGAAACTGAAATAGTTTTGAGTGGGGGCTGGCCTTTAACAAGAAGGCTTTATATTTGACTGCTGAGATATTTTGCAGCACTTTAAAGTCGGGGAGAGAACATTTGTGCACACGGTCATTAATTGAGCAGTATTCACAAGAGCTTACATTCTAAATGAGTTTTGAAAGTAAAATAGTTCTTGTTTGAATGCTCCAGAATACAATATGATTTTATAGATTGACCTGATCCTGTATAGATACTGTGTGCTTTTTTGCTGATTTCTGCATTGTAAGGCTAATTGTCATGAAGTGCAGGAAAATTGTTATGACCCTGTTAGGCCTGCTCTTTAAAATGGTTTTGCACAGAGCACCCCCAAGCCTCCCCTGCTCTGTGGGGGTAGACATGTGGGCATGATCCTGAGTATGGCCGTGTGCGTCTATAGACACGCATAGTGCGGTTTGGGCCACTACCTCCTCACAGGATTTGAGATTGCTGAGTCTCCTGTGCAAAGACAGAGAGTGAAGAAGAGCTGCTGCACAGCTCTGGATAGAATGTTTAAGGAGAGGGGGGGGGGGGGGGGGGGGTAGATTTTGAAGGCGTTTTTTTTTTACCTTAATCTAAAGAATGCATGAAGGTTTAA